TCAATCTTGCCCACGCCGTTCACATTCCCATTCGCACCCGTCGCATCATCCACACCGAGCAACCCAGGATCCTCTCCACCAATCCCATTCGCTTCATCCGCAAAATCAAAGCCAGCATCGCCGTTCGCGGGATCAACATCAAACGGCGTACTGGCATCGAATGTGAAATCAGGTAGACCACCGCCATTGGTATTGGTGTTAATCCCGTTTACGGTAGCTTTTTGATCGGGGGGATTCGCGTCTGCGGTGAAGAAATCGTCGTCGTTGACGAAGTGGCCCATGTTGAGGTCGAAACCACCGGGTTCGCCGAGGCCGCCGTCGTCGCCGGCTGCACCGCCGAAATACCCGTCGTTGCCTTCGCCAAGTCCAGAGATCTGGCCTGTGGGGGATAGAGGTAGGATACGCTCGTGGATGTGTTGGATTTTGCTGTTTTGCTGGTCGGACAACTTTTGTAGCATTTCTAGTTGTTGCTGCGTCGCTTGGTACTGCGCTAGATCACCCAGCAAGCGGTCCATTTCAGGCGGATGCGGGTTGGTAAGCGCGTTGTTTGTGTTTTGGGCGGAGGTATTGTTTACGATCTGGGAGAGGACATCGTTGCGTTGTTGTGGGGTGAGAGGGACGTGACCGTCTTGGGTTTGGTAATTTGATAAAGCGGCGGCGTAGTCGAAGTCTGAAGGTGGGGGTTGCGAAGTGCCGGAGTGGTTGGTTGCTGTGGCGTTGGCGTTTTGGATGGCGGACATGATGGCGGAGTTGTCGGCTAGTGGGTTTAGGTTGGAGGCGGGGTCGGGTTTGACTTGGGAGGGCGTGATGCTGTCTCTGGCTTGTTGGGAAAATGGTGACGACTGGGACTGCTGGCGATTCATCGATACTGAGGGCCTGAACACTGATTGTCGACTGCCAGGCCGTGTAATGGGGCTAGCGAGTGGCCGGGCTGTTGGGCTCATGGTCGTGGCGCGGCCTGTCGTCGTTGGAGCGAGGTAGTCCTGGTTCGGAGCTGGCGCTGGTAAAATGGCAAGCGGTTTCTTGTTCCTCTGCAATTGCGGCGACTTTTGTGCTTCCTGCATGGGATAGTCGTCGACGTCCACGACATTGCCGTGGTGTTGTTGTCGTGCCGCGGGGAACATGTCTGCCAGATTCATATTCGCATTGCCCTCTAGACTCCTATTATAGAAAGTGGCGAGGAATGTCAAAATGGCATTGATAGAGTTCTCGTGGCGGTCGTGCAGCGCTTGGAAGGATGTCGCTCGTGAGTACAACTCCTCATTCTGGCGTTTGATCTGGGTAAGGACATTGGAGATGAGCTTTTGCTGTTGCTGGAGTTCCCTGACTTCAACCCGCAGGCTGTTGTACTCGGATCGCGGGATCATGGCCATCTGCTCGTTTCCTCTGACGGCCACTTCTTCAACATAGCCTCCGCCCCCTGTATCTTGAATGTACTTGCGGTCTTCGTCGCTATCGCCCTTGTTTTCTTCGTCCCGTTTCCGCTTCGGTCCGGTAACAGGATTCTTCGGCTTCTGGATCAGCCATAACAACTCTTGTCGACCGCGCTTGAAGTATTTGTTGTAGTACTCGCTAGGTGCTTTCGCTTTTGTCTCGCTGGCTTTCATCGAATTGTCCGAGAGTCCCACCTTCTTGTGGAAGCCGTACATGTTCAGTTGCCGTACGAAGGACGCGTAGTTGTTGTGCTTGAACAGCTCGGGTATCAGGGTCCTCGCAAATTCGTCTTCGTCGAGCACGATGAAGGAATTGCCGTCGTCCGACCAGCGAATGAGGTTTTCGTTCTTGTTGTTATCGAGGAAACTGTCAACGTCAGTCAGTGCCCCGGGTACAGTCTGCAAAGATACTCACCTGCTCAACTTCTGCACAAACGGCGGGATCTGTTTCCGCTTCGCCTGTGCATCCTTCTTGGCAATAGCCGCCTTCTGCTCCAGCTCCTCATCGTCATCCACCGTCTCCCACTGTTGCGTCGGACTGGCAAATCCATCCCATTGATTCCGCCGTGGCGCAGGTGCAAGTTGCTGGTTTGTGTTTCGCCGTACCAACTGCCCCGCCATTTCCGCGCCGTCGTTGTATCCATCAAGCGACACAACGCGGCTATGGCCTCCGCCCATGCTCTGGCCGTTATAGTCGTACAGCGGCGGGTCGGTGAAGTTCATGTCTGCGCCAGCCGTAGGGTCGTTCCAGTTCATGTATGAGTCGGTCGCGGGGATGTCGTGCTGGTACGCCTGAGTGGGAGCCTGTGGTGAAGCACCCGGCGCGCGCCGCTTGCGGTTCGACATGAGTGCTCGCGCGCCTCGTGTGGCTGGAGCGAGGGAGATGTTTGATGGGTGCGTCCGCTGTGTGTATCCGGTGATCCCGCCGGCCTGAAAGATTCTTCGCGGGTCCTCGAGCGCGGCTATCAGCCTTGTCAATTCCGTGCAGGTGCGAAGCCGTGGAAGTGCGAACTGACACTCGGAGTCAATGATGGAGTTTAATCGTAGGCCCTAGGTCGCGCGATTCCGTCACGATTATGTAGCGGCGCAGTCCAGATTGTTGTCTTGTTGTCGCAGTTTTACTACACCACCGGGTGATTGTTCAAAACAGTTCGTTGACTCGCACAAAGAATCGGGGGGTGTTCCAGCAAAGGGCGCAAATACAAACGCCTGGAAGGCGGTTCTGGAAGGCAGCGGCGTCGTGATCAGGAAGGGCGCCGCGAGGCAGACATTCGGCGGAGCAAGATGAGTCGGGTCGTTTAAGTTTTGGTGGAGAAATCCGGGGTACCGGCGACCAATGGGTGGGCGGGCAGGCGATGGCGCTGTCGAAGGGTATGCGCAACGTGTTCAGATGCGGCGGAAGCCTGGAGGCGGGCGGTTGGATGGCGTGCAAGGCAGCGTCGGCACTGTCGCGTACGAACGCTCACGATGAGATCAGTAGACTTCACCGCACCGCCAGCGTCATTCGCTTAGCCTCGCGCTAGCATGACTCGCAACATCGTCTGGGTCCTGTCAGTAGTAGTAATGCTAACGTCCACTTTTCGACGCGACCTACAGCATCCTATTCATACTCACTTGCAGCTCTCAACACCAGTCTGGCAACGACATAAGGGCGTCAAAACTCTGTCATCCCGCCACCCGGCCACGTTGACCCATGACAGCCGGCATGATTTGCATTCGGCCCGTTTGAGGTGGAACGATGGCATTTCGCCTTGAATTCCCATGCTTTACTACAGATTTCCCATATTATTTCCCGATCAACAGCGCCCCTCATCGAGATCCATCCTGCCACCAGTGGTCTATCATGCCAGGGGCTCAAACGCTGAATGGTGCTGGCTTCCGTGCAGTTGCTCTACAGTATTCAACCATGCCTCGGATTCCTACCTAGTAATCTTGACAGCAGATGCCTCATACATCATCCGATCGACAGTGCATCTTGTCGGGATCTAGGGCAGTGCAAGCAGTTGACCGTCGCAGCTCACACCTGAATGAGATGGCCATTACCTCCCTCCTCCGCCCCCACCCGCCCAAGCTTACGACGTCCAACAAGAGACCTTCATCCCCTCCCCCACCCATCCGTGCCTTGACCTCCCCTGCTTTACGACAGATCTCCTATAATCTTCCGATCAACAGTGCGTCCCATCATGATCCATCCCGGCATGGCACTCCTTCATACCAGGGACTCCCCATCGAACGTTCTAGATATCACCTGATTTGGTATAATGTTTGTTGACTCGTACGTTGCAAGATAAGTAACGTGGTGTCAGATCGACTCAACAGCCAGGGTATAAAGTCATGTGCCACGCGGTAGTGCTGTGGATGGGAAGGCATCTCCGGAGAAGTGAGAAGTGTGAATTCGGATTGGCTGGAGAATGGAAGCGAGTGGCCCGAGCAATCATACACAGAATGGTGTATCGGACATGAGCGATACTCTGGCTTTAAGATTTCCATGCAATCGGGACAAAGTCCCTACACCAATTTGTAATACTTCAACAGGCACCCCGACTCCGAACACTGTGTCTACAACACATCAAACAGGCACCCGCATCATGGCATTTCGCACATCAGTTTTTACTACTCGATCGCTGCACCAGCCACGAATACTCAAGATCACGGCAATGTAACATGAATATTGGAAAAGGGTACTGGAAAAGCGAGACTTCCACCACCACCCCACCTCCTCCCCTCCGCCTCCCCCACCCACCCAAGTCGTTGCACTGATATGTAATACTTAACAGGCACCCAGACTCACAACACTGTGCTCGAAACGTATCGACCTCGCAGCAAGAACAGCACGCATATTCACCTGACCTTCTTGTTACTCGACTGTCGTACCGGGTACAAGTAGTGCATCCTAGAGCAATGCATTCAGGATATAAGAGACTTGCTTGGGGACATCGGAGACACCGGAACTTGATTAGTAAACCTCAGTACAGATATCAAAGACGAGCCATAATTCGGAGATCAAGTCAAAAATTGCACACCTTCCATTACAATCCTGTCGCACCACCTGGGGGCCAGCACTATCCAAAAGACTATAATAATAAAGAATCGCGAATCGAAAAACGGAGAGGAGGGGAAACGACAGACAAGAAAAAGGGCGATACATGAAACAACAAACTACGACAACATGAAATCCCATATGTTCATGATTGAATAAGATGCTTTTTTGCTTTGCAACAACCCAATATGCCAATTGTGGAATTGAACGGATGGATGGATAGATGGAGGGTGGAAATGTTTGGGCAGTGGGCCCATATGGGAAAGTTCTGGATCTTCTTGGTGGTGTTATACTAATGTCTTATCTTTCTACCGTTTCGTAGCATCATTCTTCGTATGCATCGTAAAGGTTCAATCCAGGGTGTGTGTTTGGCGTTGGTAAAGTAGCGAGGGCCGAGGGCGGTTCAAAGGCCGTTAAAGACGTTCTCGTGGTCGTTCATGGGGTGGCGCCATCGCACGTTTCGTTGATGTGATAGAAGGAGTGAGGATACGTGCGTCGACATTCATTTTCGTCGTTGCGTGTTTAAGCTATTGGCCTACGAGGATTTCGACGTTGGATTGACTCGACAGCTCATCGCTGTTGCGGTTCTGATGGCCGTTTTGGCGGGGGCGGCCGAAGCCCTGGCCGCGTTCAGGGAGGGGTCCACGGGGTTGGCGCGACGGACGGTCGTCGTAGTTTGTGCTGAAGGAGCGGTGGCCGCCAATGGGGCCAGGCGCATCCCAAGACGTCATTTGGCGCAGAGCACGCGGGCTGCTGTTTTGCGGGTAGCCGGAGCTGAGTTGCATTCGGTTCATTTCGCGCTCGAGCAGGCTGTCGTCGCGTTGCGACATGGAGCCCGTCGTGGGGGTGCCGTTGGGGTTGGTGGAACTACCACTGTAGCCGAGTCCTTCGAGCGAGATGCCGCCTGGGCGGCCGATGGGGTGGCTGGCGGTCGAGGGCGCGGGCGAAGGCGTGTAGGAGCGGAGGTCGGCGTAGGACTTGGCGCCGCGGAGGTTGGGCACTGCGTTCAGGCCGCCGGGGGAGTCGGGGAATCCGAGAAGACCTGATGGCTGCCTGTTGAAGGCGTTGTAGAATCCACCCTCGGCGCGCACATCGCTGAAGTCGGTGGTTGCTGCGCGGTTGAGGTTGCGGCGAGGCTGCTCCATGTGGTTGCTGGGCATCTGCGGCATCGGGGGGCTGAGGCCCTGGTTGTCGTGAACCTTGAAAATGTGCACCTGTCGCTGTTCGCCGGTGCCCTTGGACACATGCGCGAGGCCTAGCTGGTGGGCTAGAGTGTGGACGGTGCGGCGTTGGAGAGGCGCCAGATTCGGGGGGAACGTCATGCTGTCGCGCTCCTTGGTCTCCTTGAACAAAAGCAACTGCGTGTAGAATTGGAGCACTTGGGGGTCATTGAGGTCGACATCTAAGTAGTCGTTAGCAATGTTCCCGTCATATATCCCGTCCGCAAACATACCAACAGTCTTTGATGCCGATCCAGCTCGCATGGCGGAAACTGGCGATGGCGATGTAGCGGGCATGTGCGAGGCAAGGGAGCCAAACGAAGCCTGTGATTGCAGACCGCCGCCGAGGGGCCGGTGCTGCTCCTCGAGCTGTCCACGACGTTCACGCTTCTCCCGCTCAATACGCTCCCGCTCAGCCAATGGCAGCATCTTCTTGTACTCGACACGCAGCTTCCGGCCGTTGAGCTCAAAGTGGTTCATCGACTCGATGACGGCGGCCGTCTCCTCGGCGGTGGTGAAGTTGGCAAAGGCCAGACCCCTGAAGACGCCGTTGTCGAAGTGGTAGTTGAAGGCATAGGGCAGGGGTAGGCGCAGTTCCGTCATGAGGGAGACGAGCTGCTCCTTCTTGACGGCAAAGGGGATGTTCTTGATGACGATGGCGGTGGGGATGAGCTCTTCGTCGACGTCGTGGCCGTAGCTCGTGTTCTGCATGGCGCCGAGGTTGTTGTTGCCTAGGGCAAAGCTAGGCAGGCCTTGGGGCTGCTGGTCCATCCATCCCTATAAAGTCAGTATTGACTCCATCCATCTATCGAGTGTCGGGTGTGCTTACCGATGGGAGTGCGCTCCGCCCTCCGCCGCGCTGTTGCGACTTGATGCGGGCCTGCTGGGCGCCCCCGAGCGAGCCCAGGCCCTGGTTCTGGGAGAAGGCGTTGGTGTTCCAGCCCTGGGGCGCGCCCATGTCGTAGCCGTAGGCGCCGGCGTGCATGGTCTGGTTGAGGCGCTCGTAGTTGCGCGGCTGGTCGTACCTTTGGTGATCGTCTTGCGCGTACATGGTGTTGGGCTGTTGCTGCTGGACCTGCTGGTAGGCGTCGAACTGGCGAGAGGGCATGCGGTGCAGGGTGCCAGAGTGGGGCTGGTTCCGTTGGGCAATGGGCGAGCGCGACGTCGACTGGTCGTACGCCGACGAGTACATTATATGTGTGCGGCGAGGGAGGGCCGGGGCGGTGTTTGGGTGCAGAGCAAGAAAATTAACAGCGGAGGTAAGAGTAGCACGTGGTCCAAGCTCGTAATGTCGTGAAATGAGCGGAAGGCGGCCGTCGCAAACAGGTCAGGTCGGATCGGAGGAGAAAAGGGGTCGGCGTGAGCTCGAGCTTGCGTGGTCGAGGTTGGCTGGCGATGGTAATAATCAGGGATGCCTGGCGGACCCAGCGCAGTCGTCCCCTTTCGAGCCGCACTTTTCGGTGGGACGCGAACAACAGGCTAGCAGACGTCAGAGGGCTTCAATATCGCTAACACGCGACCGGGTGGATGCGTAGCTGGCTGGATGCGACGACGATGCCCGCCGCTTGGAAGCAAAAGTTGTCCTGACACCCACTAACGGCGCGGGGAGACGGCTGCACACGTGCCCGCGACGACTGAGGGCAGCTGTTTCAATAGTCTCGCGCGCAGCGAACGGCTGGCCAGGTCAGGAGTCAGCGACTTATCCATCTTGATTGGCTGACGTCCATCGTAAACCATCTCCCGCTGCACTCTGCCTAGGTCGTGTTTGGTATTAAGTTGTGTATACGGCTTGTTCCTCCCGCCGTCTGAGGCCGCTACCTCTTCGCCGCCCTCTACCATGACATCTCTCTTAAAATACCCTCGTCCGCACAGATGCCCTGGCCAGAGCCCAACACCTCCCATTACTCATGCCCACCATGTCTGCCCACGCGCCACATCACCGCCCTCCCTGGACGGGCCAGCCTCACAAAAGGGCGACAGAGGGATGGCCCGGCGTTCTGGAAGTCGCCAGGTGGCGGGCCGTAGCGTTAGCTCCCTGCCAATAACGTGGAACAACACCAACTCAGCTTTTCCCTTCCATCAACGCCTGCCAGAAGTGTCTGCTGTCAACGGCGTCGAGACAGGCCAAATCTGCCCCGTCGTGAACTCGAGGGACCTGCTCCTTTGGCCAGAATCCTCCGAGACGCTCGGGGTGCATGATGAGCACACGCGACGTCGTCAGCTGCACCCTGCCACCGGTAATCTCCCCTGGTACGGTTCATCGTGCTGCACCCCAGATGTGCAACTGGAATAAGGCTGCATATTCACTGCCATCGCTTGACACTGCTTGTTCATATTCTATTGTGGTCTACACATAACTCTGTATAATCTCCATCCACGCTGCGCAGTCCACGCCGCACAGCACACTCACTCATCTCATTTGACAGACCCTCTAGAAGCTAGGCATATACTCGGCCATGGAAGACGATCAGGGACGGCTTCCCGCTTTTATCAAGTTTCCGACTGGCTGAGCACAGCAGATGTGGTTTGTAGGATCGCTTAGCCTGCATGCATAGCTGATCATGTGAATCCGGCCACTGGGCCGAACACCACTCTCGGGCGCGACGTCTCGCCATCATCCCTTTTCTGCGGACTGGTTACGCGACAGACATCGTGGCTGTGCTTACATCAATTGCATACCCCTTCAGTCCTCAAAGTCGAGCAGCCGCGAGAATTCAGTCTCGCCGACGCGTCGGAACTCGGCTCCTGCTGCAAACTGCCCACTTGCTTCCCACGCTTGCATGGTCGCCTGGTCGTATGGCCCATTAATCTCACCTTCTGGTGCGTTGAGCCAGTGGAACTCCCACTGCACTGTCTCCGGGTTCGGGTTCTTCCAGTCCTCTCCAGTCTCACGCTTGTACTGCCGCATGATGGATTCGCGGGGGAGTTCGTAAATATCCTCGACGCCGCGATCAGACAGCCGACTGGCGCATTCGGTTATAGAATCAATCACCTCCTTTGCCTGGATCGCCGCAGCATCCTGCGATGGATCTGAATCGACCTCCATAGCCTGACTCTTCTTCTTCTTGGCCCAGTTCTTGGCTGGCTTCTTCGGTGCTGCCTTGCCGTATCGCACGAGAGCCTCCATGGGCGTCTCGCCAACGTCCAGGTGCGTGATGAGGGTCGATAGAACGTCGCTGGTCACGATGGAGTCTTCGGCTCGTTCTCGTGCCTTTCGCTCGGCATCCAGCTTGTCCTGCGCCTCCTTTGCCTTTTTGATGTCCTTCTTCGATATGCCATCCAGCCACGAGTCCTGCGCAGCTTCGGGGTCAAAGGCCTTGCGCACGAAGTTTCCGGCTTCGTCAAAACGACCCTCTTCCTGCTCGGCGCTCATGTTGAAAGCATCCAGCTTAGGCGCATGCTTCTTCTTGCCACCTGCACCTATTTCCTCGTCGACGTCGGAGGGTACGTGGTCGCGCAACTCGTCATCTCCCTCATCACTACTGCTCTCGACTTCTTCTGTTCTGCTCTTCGGACCCTTGGTGAAGTCAACAGCTACGTGACCCCCAGACTTGCTGTTCGCTTCCTGGCCTTCGATCTCGGCATCGTCCAGGAAGCGCAACTTCTTCTTTTTGGTCTGATCTCTCCGCAATCCCTCGTCCATCTCATCGTCTTTGTCATCCTCGGCGAACATGTCGTCGTCATCGTCCTCTGTTTTGGGCGGCTCGTCCTTGTTGGGTCGGGCTTCTGCGCGCGCCTCGAAGTTCTCCGTGGAGCTATCTGAGTCGTAGCCGTCGATGTTGACTGCGTTCCGCTTGATGCCTGCGCTTTTTCCTATAACGTCAGCCTCGAGAGCAGGATCTTCCTCATCCTCTGCATCCGGAGCCAGCGTGGAGGGGTTGCGCGGGTCAAAGCGGGGTTTCTTTGTCGAATGCTCGTCGGCGTCCATGTGGTGGGTTCGCGTGAATTGCTCGCCAGCGCGCTTCGGTCGCGCGGGGTTGTATGTTCCACTAGAGCTGGCCATGATGATTAGCAACGTTGCGCGATATTCTGGCGTCGAGGTTCGGCGGAGGATGAGCCCAGGCGGCCAGGCAGTGACGTCGGACGCGATTAATTTGAAGCTTGGGCCACGACGCGCTAATCGGAGTTTAGCGGACTTCTCACTGGCTCAAACGGCCCGCTGTACTGCTGCCAACCACGGTCGTCATCCCAGGCCTCTCATCAATACGTATTACTTCTACCACCTGCCCGCCGTTACCTAACAATACCTGAACCATTCACTGCCCTCTAAAAGATCATCTGACTCACTAATCCCGCACACTTAAAATGGTAAGTGCGACCCGACCACCTTCTTTGTCCTACACTCACCACATACAGTTCAACCCCAACTTTTACGACCAAGACGATCCCATGGCCATGTACCAGTCCCTCGCCGCACGTCGCGGCGGCGCTCCTCGACGCTTCGATGAGTACTTTCGATGCTATCCCATCGTCATGTTGCCTGGCCCGGAGCGCCACGAGGCAAACCACGGCGGCAAAGTGTTCCTCCCTCCGAGTGCTCTCGACAAGCTCACCAGGCTGCACATCACATACCCTATGCTCTTCGAGCTCATAAACGGCAAGGCGGACGGAAAGAAGACGCACGCAGGTGTGCTGGAATTCATCGCAGAGGAGGGCAAGATCTACCTGCCATACTGGCTCATGGAGACACTCCAGCTGGAGCCCGGTGACCTGCTACAAGTCAAGTCGACCGACATCCCTCTCGGCACCTTTATCAAGCTGCAACCACAAGATTCCTCCTTCCTCGAAATCTCCGACCCCAAGGCCGTGCTCGAAAACGCGTTCCGCAACTTCTCGTGTCTTACAGTCGGCGACATATTCACCTTTTCGTACAACGACAACGTGTATAGCATAGCAGTGTTGGAGGCCAAGCCAGAACACCCAAGCAAGGCCGTCTGTACCATCGAGACCGATCTGTCAGTCGACTTCGCTCCACCAGTAGGCTACCAAGAGCCCCAAAGGAACAGCGGCACAAGCACACCGCGCAGTGGAAAGGGCGTCATGAGCGGCAAAGGCGGCACACTACACGCTCAAGGCACCATGGCAGATGCTATCAACTACGCTGCCATCGCACCATCATCGACGACCGCAGCCAACGGAGCCAAGGCCACTTCCTCAAATTTCCTCACCACCGGTCACAAGCTGCTCAAGAAGGGCAGCAAGGCGCCCACCCCGCAAGCGTCCACCCCCATCGCGGGACAGTCCTCAAACCCGCCCCCGACAGTACGACGCACCAACGGCCCGCAGCCGCTCAGACTACCACCCAACAAACTGTTCTTCGGGTACGAGATCAAGCCACTCAAGGGCAAGGAGGAGGAGGGTGAGCAGAAGGATTCGAAGCACTTCGAAGGGTCTGGGCAGTCTCTGCGCAAGAAGAAGGGCGACAAATGAGGTAGATACCCGGTTTGATGGAACTTGCGAATACTCAGAGAGCAGCATTATGTGGCGCTGATAACGGGTACTGGGATAAAGACATGGCGTACGGCGTTTGATACCTACAATTCTAGTCATGTTTGGAATGAATGAGGCACTTATTTCCTCCCTCTCTTATGGTGTTCATCTCTGCGTATATGGATAATTCGATAACTTGCAGAGATGGTCCCCACGTGCCTAATCTGCAATTAAACATTTCTCATGCCGTATCTGCATCCATCTTTTCCCTCATTATTCTCCCAAACACACCTCACTCTCCAAATACGTCAAACAGCACAAGCATGAATGGATGCAAGAGGATTGTATCATCAATGAAATTTTCTCGCTCAAGATAGACGATCAAGTCAAGTGCTCAGCGCATATCCACCACCAAAGTAAATCCGGCAGAAGCAAGTCTGTCTCGCGTACCAAAGCCCCAGTACCCTCGTCAGACCGTGTTTGTTCCGCTGAATGTCTAATGCAGCATGCGGCATGCGGACTTGCATGCGCAGCGGAGGCAGATTCAGTGATTCCCTTAGGAAAAGGAGGAAAGAAAGGAGGCGGCGAGATAGCGAGGCGGCGAGAGAGGCTAAACCATCTCATCAAGCTCCTCATCAAGAACCTCCTCTTTGACACCAACGTTCTTTCCATCGCCGCCAGATGAGACGTCCTCCTCTTCAACCGCATCCTCAACACTCTCCTCCTTCTTGCTCTTGGTCTTAGCCTTCTTGGCACGCGGTTTCTTACTCGGCGTAGCCAGCTCCTCCTCCTCGTCTAAGCCATCACCTCCATCGCCCTCGAGAATACCAGCGCCACGTTTCTTGCCACTAGCTGTCTTGTTGTTGGGTGTCTTGCGCGGTGTAGTAACGGGCGTCTTTGCTTTAGCGCCGCCTTCGGGCAGTGTCCAGCCGTATTCTTCGTAGAGCTTGCGTTGTTCGACGCGGAGGAGGGAGACGCGAACTTGGACGCCTTTGATGGAGGTGCCTGTGGGGTGGGGTTAGTTAGGTTGGGGGGTTGGATGGGGGAAGGACATGGGAAAAACTAACCAGGAAACACGCCAACGATACGCTCGTAGTCTTCGGCTGTAAGGTAGCGTCCTTGTGTCAAGATGAGGAGCTACATGGGAAGGAAGCTGTTAGTCCTGATCTACCAGTCCCGAGGTCATCGGGCATCTTGAGCGAAGGCTTACCTTCTTCTCGTTCTCCAGCGTCCAGCGGAATGCCTGAGGTGGGTGTTAGTTGCTGGCTCGATGAGTGAATACTGGAGGTGGGGAGGAACATACGCCGCCTTCGGCTGCTGCGGTCTTTTTCTTGGGTGGCATGGTCGGTGACTTGTTGGTTGCTTTGGAGACTGGGATTGGATGTTGGTTTGGTGTGGGGTCGTGGACGGTGTAAGAGAGAGGAAGAGTGGGAGAGAGATCGAGTCGAGAGACGGGTGGGAGTAAGCGATTTATACGTGTCTCGAGTGCGAGGTTTAGAGTCTGGCTGGTGCTTAAAGTGGAAAGAGGGGAGAGGTGAGGTGAGAGTAAGATTCTACTTAATTTCCTTTTTCGAGGGAACAGTCACCTTCACCTTTTGCATTTGACTCACAGGGAAGAGACACGGGATATTCGCACTTGGCATCTTTGATTTTAAGGGTAAGATACATCCCGCAGATTGTGCTAAATAATTCATTACCGCCCCCGGGGGCCAGAATGCGCAATAATCAAGGCAGTCCAGTCATGCTCTAAATATCGATCCTAATGAAGTCGTACGTAGAAACCGACTATTCTCGCCCCAAGTTTGATGTCTCAGTATCTCAGAAGATCTACATATCCTCATCAAGAATCTCCTCTTTGACCTTCCCACTATCCTCCTCTTCGACTTCAGCCTCAACAATCTCCTCTTTCTTTGCCTTGGCCTTCCTGCCACGCGGCTTCTTCGCCTTTGGAGTCTCCTCCTCAACGTCATCTCCATCACCAGCCTCTTCCTCAGCATCCCTCTTCTTGTTCTTGCGCGGCGTAGGCGTCTTCTTCAGCACTGCACCGCCGTCCGGGAGCGTCCAGCCGTACTCATCGAAGAGCTTGCGTTGCTCGACGCGGAAACGGGAGACTTTGATTTTTACGCCGTTGAGGTTTGTTCCTGTGGGAGGGGTTAGTGGGTTGCTGGAAGGAGGTTGGGTTGCTGGTGTGTAGGCGTGGTGTAGGTATAGGTGTGAAGGACAAAGAACGGAAGAGAGTGAAATGAAGACATACCTGGGAAGACGCTAACAAGACGCTCGTAATCTTCGCCCGTGAGATAGCGGCCTTGGGTCAGGATGAGGAGCTGGTTCCGTTGTGTTAGTTCCAGGCCCGGTACGTGTTGGAAGGGTATGGTTTACCTTGTTTGCGTTCTCCAGTGTCCAGCGGAATGCCTGGTGGTGGACGTTAGTCAAGCGGCTCGAAGACTTTGGCAAAGTGAGTAACGTACACCGCCTTCAGCCTCGCCGCCCTCAGCTGCTGCGACCTTCTTCTTGGGAGGCATTGTTGTTGAAGTAGTTTGTTGGTATGGGGAACTGAGGTGGGAGTGCTGGGTTTGTGTGGGCTGGTAGATGGTGTAAGAAAGTGGGAATGTGGTAGTGGAGGAAGAAGAGGGGAGAGGGGAGAATATATGAGGGGCGTGTTTAAGTAGACGTTGAACAGTTCGGGATTGAGGATAGTGAGAGTGAGATCCGAATCTAGATCTGTGCAAGATAACGAGTTTTTAAGCTCACCTTCACCTTTGCACACACAGCGCGAAAATGGAAAATCACAGAAGACGAATTTGGAAATGACTTTTGCTTGGCTGATTAGATCCCGCAGATAGTGCAAAGTGCATTTGTACTGCCAGTTTGCTAATGCTTGAGGCAGTGCCTTACTCAAATATTTCTCATCATGAAGAATCAGTAGAGCTCAACCACACGCTCCCACCCCCGTTCTCTCAAGCGCCCAGAATTCCTAAACACCCTCTTCAAGCAGCTCCTCCTTGACAACGCCATCACCCCCATTTAGCTCACGGTACAGCTCACCACCAAGTCCGTCATCCTCCTCGACCTCCTTCTTAACAACCTCCTTCTTCGGCTTGCGGGCACGCGGCTTCTTGGTAGGCGACTCCATCTCACCAGCAACCTCAGCGTCACCACCAGCACCGTCCTCGCCCTTCTCCCTCTTCTTCGACGACTTGCCCGGAGTCTTCGTAGGAGTCTTCTCCGCGTCACCAGGGAGAGGCCAATCTAGCTGCTCACACAGCGCGCGCTGCTCCTTGCGCATCTTGATGAAGCGTTGGCGGATGGCGTCCCAGTTTGTACCTGCTACTCGTTACATTAGTACACAGATACCTAGGTACACAGACAATGCGGATTGGGGAGTGCCCAGGTGTGTAGGGGAAACGTACCGGGACCGGGGAAGGCGCCGACCATCTTGTGGTAGTCGTCTTTGGTGAGGGTGCCGCGGTTCATGGCTAGGAGGAGGAGCTGGGAGTGTGAGTTAGACGGTTGTGAGGAGGGTTGAGGAGGGGGTTTGGGGGATGGGACTTACGGTGCGCTCGTTTTCGGCGGTCCAGCGGAATTTCTAAGGAGGGTTGTCAGTAAATGTGTATGTGAGTGGATTTGGCGTGTACTTACGCCGTCGCCGCCAGTGTCGGCACTGTCACCGTCGACCTTCTTCTTGGGTGGCATGTTGATCGTTGAAGACGGACTGATCGTTGAGTGCGGTTGGAAGGTCGTGCGTTGAGTATCTCGCTAGAAAACGTTGGCGGATGGTGTAGAGAAAGACACGGAGGGTTTGTGTAAAAGCGGTATCAAGATAAGCCACTAGGCAACCAAAGGTGACGAGGAAAAGTGAGAGTGAGGTACCGCGCCGCGCTATCATACGAACCGTATCCCAGGTAACAAACAATCGCGCTTTCACCGTGAACCCAATTAGAAGCGCGAGACGTCCACCACCTCCCCTCCGCCTCCCCTCCGCCTCCCCTCCTCCTCCCCCACCCACCCAGGCATGGTGGTTGTTGAAGACGGATTGATCGTCGAAGGCGACTGCAAGTGATGTGTGTTGAGTGCTGTACGAAGTATCTGACGAGAGAGCGTTGGATAGTGATGTAGAGAGAGACAGAAGGTTGTGAGAAAACAGTATCAAGATAAACCACTAAGCGGTCAGAGGCGACGATGAAAAGTGAGGGTGAGATACCGCACAGCGTTGCGCTGTGCTACGGGCCATCAACAAACAAGCGCGCCTTCACCGTGATTTCCAGCAGCGAAGCATCGGCGGAAGAAGAGCATGACGTACGGAGACCAAGGATGTCTACATTGCAGCCAAGTCAAGAACACCCCTCTTCAAAATCTCATAATATCTTTTCTTGTCTATCCAAACCCCAGCTCCAATATATACACACCCCTCTCTCCTCTCCCCACACCCATCCACCGCATCTCCACCCCCAGCCCCTTCACCTCACATCCTCATCCCCTCAGCAATAACCTTATACTCCTTCCTCTTCTTCTGCATGCCCTTACCCCCAAACCTAACCTTCGCCACCCCAATCCACTTGCTCAACCCCGGGAACAGCATATTCTCGCCCACATACGCCGCCGCAAAATTACCCAACCCCAACACCAGAATAAACACCTTGAACTGCGTATCCAAAAACGTGAGTTCCATCGCTTGCATAACCCACGCGGCGGGGTCAAACAGCATATACAGCGTAATGGCGAGGGTAACGAAGATAGTGGTGATGAAAGGCAAGTTGCGGCCCATGGGTTCGCGATACGGTTTCCCTACGCTGAGGACGACGGCGGAGAAGATGTATTGGAAGCAACTTGTCAGGAACAAGGCTGTGTTTTGGCTGTTCAAGCTGTTGCTGTGGTTAGGGTCCAGGACGGGGGGCATGTACCATTCCTGTTTTTGGACGTAGTGGAAGGCTATGAATTGGACGAGGATACATAGGACCATTTGGCCCAGTAGCGGCGTAAGCACCTTTCGTGATACGAGGTTGGCAGTCGGACGTTTGCGGCTGAGGATCGGGTAGGCGCCGGACCAGCCCATGAAGATGGCGATGGGCAGGATGAGCAGGAGGTCGATGAACAGGAATTGGAAGTCGCCGAGGTTACTCGCGCTGGCGTACAAAAAGGACACGGAGCAGAACTGTATGGCGCTGTAGAGCGACATGTATTTGAAACAGCTGAAGCTCGTGACGAGGGCGGCGCGACCTTCTTTGATGACTTGCGGGACGCAGGAGATGTCGAATTGGCGGGATGTGAAGGGTGCGGCAACCGAGGCCTCAGCTTCTGAGAGGGAGATGCCCACGTCGGCTGCTTTGAGGGCACCGCAGTCGTTGGCGCCGTCGCCGCAGAAGCCGACGCAGTAGTCGATGGATTGGAGCTTTTCGACGAGTTCGTGCTTTTCGTCGGGGGACATGCGGGCGAAGACTTGGCCGCAGACGAGCATTTCGCGGAGGACGGATTCGGAGGCAAAGTCGACGATCCAGCGGAAGACGTCGCCGCTTACTGCTAGGCTGTAGTTGCGGAGGTTGGAGATGTCGTAGGGAAGAGATACGTCGGCTTCGGGTGGCGGTGGCAGGGGCTTAAGGGTGTTATCGTCAAGCTTGAAGACGGGGTCGTCTACGCTTTCCCAGCTGAGTTTCGATAGTGCAGTCCGAGAGTCACCCTCTTCGAAGTGAGGCACGAAGCAGTGAGCAGTCTTGTTGATGAGACCACACTCGCGAGCCACACTGATAGCAGTGAGGATGTTGTCACCAGTACACATGACCTTGCGGATGTTTGCGCGTTCGAGCTCTTCGATGACAGGGGCGGTGCTGTCCTTGAGCTTGTTCTCGAAGATGATGAAACCGACAAAGTCCAGGTCGCTCTCTGCTTCCTCACGCTTCATCTTCTGAGTCTTGAGCCAGTTGAGCTTGGGGATGGATTTGGTGGCACAGGCGATGACGCGGAAACCGCGGTGGGTGTAGAAGGCGAGAAGTTCCTCGTAGTCGGTAGGGAAGCTGTCAGGTCGGCAGATCTCTTTCATGACTTCAGGTGCACCCTTGACGTATACCTGTCCGCTTTTTGAGCCGAATTGGCGAACAATGACACTAGCTCTTCGTAGCTGAGACACGAATTCAAAAGCCTTGAGTACGCCAAGTTCGACTTGCTTCCTGTTGGCGTCGTCTTCAACATCGTCGACATCATACTCCCGGCCTGGTGGTGGTCGAGCGACAGATGGCGAAAGCTTTTGCTCAGGGTCGTCGTCACCAGCGTTGCCGGCTTTCTGTTCTCCTTCTTCGTAGCTCCAGCCGGTGAAGTCGAACATCTTGACATCGAGTGGGTCGCCTACTAGCTCATCATCGATCTTGCGAAGTGAATGACAAGTAGCCATGGTGTATAGAATTGTCTTGTGTGCGAGATATTCGACAGTGGGATCGCGGTCATGCTGGGATGCGGGCAGGATGTCGTAGGCATCTGGAAGCAGCTCACTGAACCTGTTCCTTGGTCGCTCGACTACGCGGACTCCAAGAACATCGAGACCTTCCTCAGTAAGGGTTCCAGTCTTGTCAAAGCAGACGACATCCAGCTTGCCACCCACATTGACTCGCTGTGGGCTGATACAGAAGATCTGCTTCTGCTTTAAGCGCGAGAGGGCAAAGCTGGTACCGATGGTGAGTGTAGCCGGAAGCGCAGGAGGAACGACAATGGTGATAAGATCAAGAGCACGTACGACAATCAGATGCCATGCGAGACCCAGATGAACGAAGTTGATGAATGACGCGACGAAGCCGATCATAGCAATGAACGCCATGACGGAGATGTACCGGAAAGAGTCGCGGTAGAACTTGAATCCAGATGGCTTGGGGAAGAGCATCGAGCGGACCAGTGCGCCCTTGGTGGTGTTAAAACCAGTGCGCACAACCATAGCCAATGCAGCAGCTTCATCATCGACGTGGTCTTCATGTGGTCTACGAGCACGGATGATCTTGGTTCCACTAAACAGCATGTGTCGTGCAACTTCAGGATGGACAGCCGATGCGCTGAGGTCTAGGAGGTCTAGAGCGTGGTTCGACATGGGGACCTTGGAGACAGGGATTGACTCGCCAGTCAGCATACTCTCGTTGACAATGCAGTCTCCGGAGAGCAACAAACTGTCGCATGGGAACAGCGCAAGAGAAGGGTCGGTGACTTCGTAGACATCTCCCGGTACAAGCTCTGCAGAGTCGATGTGTGTCCAGAAGCCGCTGCGTAGTACACGAACTTCGCATTCGAATTTTGACACCTCGCGCAGTCTCTTCATGGATGCCTTTGTCTCGATAAGTGTGGTGACGATACTGACGGCCGATATGATGAAGATGGCGCAGGCATAGTAGTAGTACTCGTCCATGGACCAGAGGATCAGACTGGCGATCTGGAAGACGTAGAAAGGATGAAAGACCTCATCCACAAGAAGCTGACCAATAGTCTTCTCGGCGATGTCGATGACGTTCTTGCCGAAGACAAGTTCGCGGTAGTCGCGTTCATCGTTGTCGAGACCCTCGCGGAGGGCGGAGACTTCGGTCCAGGTGGGATCGGTCCAGGTATTTGCGAGGACGAACTTGTCCTTGATGGGGTGGTATACGAAGCGGATGTAGCGGTAGTCCAGGCACCTGAGCTCGCCGATGAGCGGGTCATCTTCCTCGTCCCATTCCCGTGGCCGTCCCTTTTCAGGGTCGCCGAACACAGTCGAAAGCGACCGGCCGTAGGTTTGCTTGCTGACATGCTGTACTGCAAACTCGCCCCACTGATTCTCTGTGACTATCCAGTCGCACTCCTTCAACGGCGAGCTCTTTCCTGTTATCGCGACCCTCCATCTTGGTAACCATCTGAACAGGAGCCAGCCGAGGCCCAGGGTCGCGAAACAGAGCAGCGCATACAGCGCATAGCCAATGGGCGATGTTCTGAAGCCGGCGATGACAATGGTAAGGTCCTCGGTCATGATGTAGATCTTCTGGTTCGACCTGCGCCCTCTCCAGTCGATGCCCGAGCCTGCGCTGCCTGTGGAGGAGTGTCTGCGCAACAGCGGCCGCTCGGATGACTTCCTGCTGCCACTTGACTTCCGCCGCGATGGCGACGGTGAATGCGAAGTTTCCGAAGATATGCCCGCCTCGAGGTCCTCCAACTCCGATACGGTATAGCCATTGTTGTACGTGCTCTCGCCGTCCTCCAGAATCGCGCTATCCTCGTCCTCCCCCTGTGAATCCTGCTCTTCATCGTAGAACGCGAAACTCGTCAAACTCGCACTCGAATCGGCGCGCGACCGGCGGTGGCGGAATCCAGAGACGCTCGTGGGGACGCTCTCGCTCATGGGGCCGGAGAAGACCTGGATTGTGGGCGTCAGCTGCTGGCCAGGCTTCCTTCCACGGGGGTTGTAGGCAGGACGGGAAGGAGGCATGGGGCCGAGTTCGAATACCTCATCTTGCGCCATCTCGACATCTTCCATGAAGCTTGCCCTGAGAAAGTCAATTAGTCGCGCCCGACGCTGAGCTGCAAGTCACACGTACTCGCTCAAGTGGGAGCCACGGCGGTACATGGCGCTCATCCGGCGCGGCCGCCGCCTCTCGGGGCTCTCGTTGTCGGCCATGGCGACTTTTGGTGTTTCGCGTGGTGGGCTATTGGGCCATGTTGAGCTTGTGCGACACGAAGTTTTCTTGTCGCGTCGCCTTGGGCCTGCGAGATAGGCCGTGCGGTGTATGACGTTTGAGCTAGTCAGGGATCAACCTCCGTTCCTGGTGCTCTCATCCCGACTCAACACCATCAACAGCTGAACACCACGAAAGATGAATACGCCTAACGTAGTGAACAAATTATATGCAGTGGCATGTAGGTGATGAGTCGCTAATCACGTTATTATGCCGCTATGGGATCCTGCACGACAATGCGGTGATAGGCTCAGCTACACCGGTTAATCAGCCTTGCACTACCTAGGTATGCACGTCGTTTGTGAGGCCTGCTGCAGCCTGCCAAACCATTTCTCCTACCATACATTCTTCATTCGCGTTTCTTCTTGTACCATCGTCCCTAGGATCGCCCGGCTTCATGGCTCTTACAAATGACCCCAGCGTCCGCAGACACTCCTACGCAGCACTCGAGAGCCCAGAGCACATCAGGCTGATTGCTCTGCACCCAGCCATGTCCAAAGACGCACCCCTGCGGATCAAGTTTTTCTCGTCGACTCTGGAAGATGTCGAAGGGCGTTACGAAGCTGTATCGTACACATGGGGGCAACCGGTTCTGGCTTTCGCTCTACATGTCGATGACGGTACTCAAGTCTTCGTCACAGAGAATCTTGACCGCGCTCTGAGATATCTGCGCCGAGCCGACCGGGATCGGCTTCTCTGGGCTGACGCTGCGAGTATCAACCAGGCCGATAACGAGGAGAAGGCAGTGCAAATCCCTTTGATGGTTCAGATCTTCCGAGGTGCTCGAAGAGTCATGGCTTGGCTTGACCCGGGTGGAGATACTAAGGTCGAGCAACAAGGCATGCGGGAACTGAACCGGCTTTCTCGAGCATCCACAATTCAACTTGAGGCTCTACATGATGGCTTCTCCGACGTCCTGCGATTTCTGAGTCTGCCATGGTTCAATAGACTTTGGATAGTACAAGAAGTCGTCTTCAATTTGGACATTCACTTGATCTGTGGCGGCATGGAGCTTACTTTCTCCCGACTCGTGGTTGCACTATCTGTCTTGCAGAGACACATTCGAGTCAATGAACTCCACGAATCAAGGATGGCGGTCCTTGACGAGATGGGGAAACTCTGGAACCGCCATTCGCTCTTTGGTAAAGCTTCTCGTCAGGCGCCATCATCCACATCTGAAGGCGCCACCCAAATCCTAAACCTAGTAGAAGGTTTCAGGTTATACGGATGCACAGATCCCCGGGATCGAATACTCGCTTTGTATAGCATGGCAACAGATGTACGACACTCATTCCAAGCAATCAGTCCTACATCGGGAACAGACGAACGAGTCTCCATGAATATCGATTGCTCGCTGGATGTATACGGCACTTACCAGGCCTTCGCACTGAGTTGCTGGGAGAGACCCAGGACACACGGAAAAATGTGGGAAGCTTTGCTTTCCCGCCAGCACTCTCCGCAGCCGACCAATTTGGCTTCCTGGGCACCAGATTGGCGTGTCTTACCCCGAGATAAGTGGCGCATAGGTTCAAATCTCTCACGTAACCCCCAGTACCTTGAATATCCCGACATGAAAATGCATACCATGGGTCTTCGTATGGGATTCAACCACAGAGGATCTACGCAAGATGTTGGGTTAAAAGATCTTTGTACCGTCCAGCTCAAGACTTCAAGAACGCCAGCAGATGATCAAACTTCGTTCTTGACGCAGCTATCGCAGTTGCATATGTTACTCCAAAACCCGAAACGTTCCTTGCATCTATCTGGTCTGCCATCGAAAGTATCACAGAACGTGATAGGTACTAGGAGTATTCTCATTGACATGATCAAGGTGTCTTTCCCCTTGGTCAGCAATGAAGACATAATAACGCTCGAGCAGCACTTGGCAGAAATGGCAGTCTTCTCCGAGAAAGCTGGCTCTGCATGCAATACTATAGCGCCTTCAGTCAGGGTTCAAGAGATTGTGCACAAACTGGTTCGGCGATTAGCAACCAACGAGTTCTTTTGTTTCCAGGACCCAAGAACACAGGTTTACTCTGTGGGGATTGGTAACAAGAATATGGAGATCGGTGACCAAATTGTATTGCTTGATGGGTCTGATGAGCGTCCAGAAGTTCAAGTGTGGAGAGAGTCTCTAGTTGTATTTATACTTCGAAAAGTCGGGCATCTTGATGATACGCAACTGCCGGTGTTTCGGTTCATTGGCAGTGGATATGTGCTCAATTACAACTGCGTGTTTCCGCCTAAGAGTGTACGAAGACACGTCACGCGAAATAAAAAGACGCGTGTTGAAGAGGCGGCATGGGAAGAGTTTCAGATGAGCTTCCTGCGGGATAAGCACTTCAGATGGTTGAACCTAGTGTAGGGTCTCTTCCGGAAGACAGATCCTCGATTTACACCCCCATCTTCGCCCTAACAAACGCCTCAGTATCATCCAACACCTCCTGCACCGCCTTAATAGTCCCCGGCGGAAACCCAATAAACCCATGCGGCGCGCCCCTATAAATCTTCACCACACTCTCCGCCCCCCACATCCCCCACTTCGCCCCCATCAACACACTATCATCCAGCAACGGGTCCTCACTCCCACACGTAAACAACGCCGGCGGCAACTTCATTCCCCTTAGATCCTGCCAGAAAGGACTTATCGACGGGTCGCGGCGCTCCGCTTCCGTGGTGTTGGGGAGCAAGGCGTCGATGTAGGATTTCATCACGTCGTGGTCGATTACGAGGTGAGATTCGTGGTGCAGGACGTGGGGGAGGAAGGAGGACATGTCGTAGCAGCCGAAGTGGAGGAGGAGGCCGCGGAAGGAGAAGGATGGGAGGGTTTTTAGGAGGTGGAAGGCGACGAGGCAGGCGAGGTGGCCGCCTGCAGACTAAGAGGTTGTTAGTATGGGTGTTGGAGAGGTTTGGGTTGGGTACGTGTGCGAGAGGAGAGGCAGGGAGGTAGTGCAGGGAGGTAATGGAGGGGGGTAATGGAGGGGGGAAGGGAAGGACACATACCTCACCACCCGTAAACATCAATTCCCCACCAAAAACCTCCGGACCATTCTTCACCAGCCATTCCGCAGCGTCGTAGCAATCTTCTGCGCCAGCGGGCCACGGGTCTTCGGGCGCGAGCCTGTATCCGATTGATACGACTGTTACTTCGAAGTGGTCGGCCATGTATTTTAGGTAGGGGTCTTGACTATTCTCCCAGTCAGCGTCAACTCAATCCCCATCCCCACCATCACCATCTCCATCCCCTCTTCCCATCTCCACATTTCCCCTTCATACTATTGCTTTCACAGTAGATAAACAGAGTCATCAACTTACTAAGCCTCACTCATCAACACCCACCCCCCTCCATGAATATGCATATGAATCCCCCTGCTCACCCCTCCGCTCGGCTTAAACACCCTATACGGTATCTCCCTTCCGGCGTCTCTCGACGGAAGAGAGCCATTGAAACCCTCGGGGAGAACTACGGGTTTGGGTAAAGGGGTTTTGCCTTCCCAGCGCATCTGGCGGTAGGCTGCTGCGCCGACCTGTGGATTCTTACGTTGGCACAGGGTTGAAGGATATAAGATTGGGTGGGGATGGGATACGGAGGGATTGGAGGGGTGTTGGGAAGAGGGATCGAGATGGGAACTGGAGACATACCTCATACCACCTCGGTCCATCCGCCCAGATCTTAATCAACTTCTCGTTGAACTCCAGGGTCTGTTTGTCGATACCATTGCGATCGAACTTCGAGGCGTCGACTGTGACGTCTGATTTCGGATACATGGTCGTGATTTATCAGAGTTTCTTGTGTCCTTGCTCTTTCTTCTTTGCCAACAGGTTACTTGAACGTTGCGAAACGTCCACTTAACAACCAACGTCTAAAAAATGTAGAATCAGGAGGTGAAAATCGAAGATGAGTTAAACAGAACGAGGCGTACAGAGGTAGTAGTAGTAAGCATGCGATTACCACGTTACATCCCCCATCGGCCGTACTCCCTCGTGTTCCTCCCTTTCGCACGTATCAAAGTGGGGGCGGGGTATGTACAGCTACCAGAACAACCATGCGCCGTTCCAAAACATCCCTAGTCGCTTCCCTATAATTGGTGTACACAGTGTGATTATCTCCGAAGTAACGTTCGTACCTGCATTTTCGGGTTACTCTTTCGGAAGACTCCGGATGTTTTGCGGTTGGGGTAAGATAATGGGAGGTGTTGTGGCCGGTATCGGCGCGCTGGACTCACTACCATCTCGGACATCATGCGATAACATACAACCCAGTTTACGCGCAGATAGGGCAGAGCTGGGGAGGTGGAGAAGGTGTTATTATAGTATTAATAGGACGATGTAGACTACCGCACAGGTTTCGCTTGCATCCGACTCGTCGACATACCCGTATGTCCATTACTTTGCCCTCCCTTCACCCTCCGTTTCGCCTGCCGCTCATCTCTGACGAACAGCGATTTAGCTACTGAAACTGCTACCGCTGCTGTGCGGAAGGGGTACATGGCGATGTCCCAAGTCACCTGCAGCATGTAGCTAATAGTACCGGCTATCCAGCTCAGCGTCATGGCAATCACGCCTGGTCGCTGACCGGTTCTAGCAGCCGCGGCAGCTAGGGCGAGTGTGTCTCCCAATCTAGCTTCCAGGTCTTGGAAGCGGGCTTCGATTTGTAGGGATTGCGCCATGTGACGTTTTTCGTAGCGCCTAACTGCGCGGTTTAGCGCGTCGAGTTGGAGTTGGGTTGTTTGGCGGACTTCGGCGCTGAGTTTCTCTACGTCCACTTCGTTGTTGTTGGCGGATTGGGGGCTATCGAGCCGTCCTTCTAGCTCAGAGATTCGCTGTGAGAGTTGCTGTGTGTCGGCTGGTCGGACGGGCTCTCTAGGGGCTTCTCGGACGATGCGCTGGAGGTGGAGGATTCGCTCTGTTCGCATCTTGATGAGGCGGTTTACGGGGGGTATCTCGGCGATGAGGAGGAAGATGCTGAGGTTCGCGTCGGATACTATGCCTTCGGCGCGCATGAGCTGGCCTCGGATGGTGTGCATGAGGAGCGCGCCGAGGAGGGGACCTAGGAAGCAGCCGAGGAAAGCCAGCATCTCGGACCGCTTCAGGGCTTCACGAGCCTCCTTCTGCGCTCGCGAGATAGGCGCATCGGCCGTGGTGTTGACCTTTGAGTCCTGCGTCTCGCCTACTTGCTCTTCTGCCACCTCTGGCGCATCCTCTTCCTCCTCATGTATCGTGTCGTCGTAGGTCGCGTCATCCGTGTCGTCATTCAAGTATCGTCGTTGCTGTGCCTCGTGGTACCAGTCCCTGCATCGCGTCAGCTGTGATTCTCACCCATGCTTACTACAACCTACCATGGCACCTTGACGCTCCAATGGAGGAACCAGCCAGCCAGTACCAATATCAACACGTCTGTCGCGACATCTGCGCCGTTCTCTACCGTCAACCCAATGATGGCAGGGACCACGGCAGCCACAACAGGCAGCGCAATCCATCGTGACGGCTCGTCTGGAGATGCATGTCGGCCCATGTCATTCTTCCCACCCGCTCGTAGAAGATTGTCGCTGGAGGATCGCAGGGAATAGCGCGAGTCGGAGAGGTCGGAGACGAGGGAGCTGCGGCGTCGAGGGGCGGCTGTAGGGGGAGTAGAAGGTCGCGCACCCTCAGCAAAGGTGGCGGCGCGGTTCAGCATCCTCTGGCGCAGTTGAGGGTGGATGCTGGGACTGTCGGCCGGCGCACCGTCCATGGCGAGCACCGGTTGAGGCCTCGGGATTGAAGAAGCAACGTGGACGACGTCGCTGCCAATGGATGCCTAGACGCCGCTTCAAGAAGGCGCAATGTGGTAGAGATGCGAGTCACCTGATCGCGATGGGTGCAGGCGCCGCGGAAGCATTGCTGAGGCTCTGGTGACGCTCACACGTACTAACGCGACCGTCGTGTGCCGTAGTGGAAGACGCCTCGGCGAGTCGTTCGTCTTACGTCATGTCTCGATGCGGTCAATTGTAGAGCTGGGACCCTCTCCGAGCTTCTTCACACATGCGCTATGGCCTAGCTTCCCATGGTTTGCAAGCGATTCACTGCGAACACCATCTCGACACCAACAGATATTCTGTGCGCATCCCGTGTTCACGGCCATTCAGACCGTGGCAACCATGCCACACGTGTGCAGGCCCTCCTGCTGTGCGACCCAGCCTACAACATGACCGGAGAAACGACCAAGCGCTGCAACGGCTTGCACATGCCTCATGGACTATCTACCATTCGACCAACACACAATCTCGCCACTTGTTGGTCCCCGATGCTTCATACCGGGACGCAGCCATCTGCCGTAGAGTACCCCATCGTCCCAACGCACTTGTTCGGACTCCGACAATGTAACAGATGCCCACCAAACCGGGCAGGTAAACACCGGTTCCTGGATGCTCGAAGCGGGTGAGTAGGATAATCTGGCTAAACCCGCCACGTACAACCCGACCTGCAACCATGCCGCAGCAGCGGGGACTTAGCACCTCGTCTCCCCATGATTCCCTCTCTGATTGCGCTGCTACTTATCACAGACATGTCTCGTCTCTTTCTCGTTGGTTTTCTATTCAGAAGTCCTCTTTTTCTATTCAGACCCAAATGCGGACAGGCAAAAGTCTCACTTGCACTACCACAACCATACCACCGCAACCGAATATCACGGGTACCAGGCAGCGCCCTGTCCAGGCGACGGGTCAGCCCGTTTCAAACAGACTGTGATTGACGTGGGCGAGAGCGTCTGCCGATATGCTGTTCTAGCGGCATACTCGTTTTCACCACTCAAGTGAACGTAAGTCCTATTGAGCCTTATTGAAGCTTGAGACACGCATTTGCTCTATTGAGGATTTCCATATACTCGGTATCGACGGGAGTGATGGGGCTTTCGAGGCTGCTTGCCGCCTGTCTATCTCTTCCGTTGCTTTTCGTTCTAATCATAATCTTTTCCATATCTAAACCCATCAACACTACCTGACACTATCCTGGAGATAGCACAATCGACAGCTCGAATTCCACTTTATCAACGGCTACATTCCTGGACTGGATTCAGATCTGCCGCTTTGCAGCATCGAAGATAACTGCCCATCTTCGTTGGTTGCTCCCTCCTCTTGACATCCGCTACCATGTCAATGACATCTGCTGCTATGGCAATGACATCTACTGCTATGTCTTTGACATCTACTTCTATGGCAACCAACACACACTCCTACGAAGCTTACTGGACTGGGGATGCGGCGGGGACGTATGAATACAGCACCAACATCACCATGGAGGAGATGAACGCACCCGTCTCCACTCAGGCCATCCTCTTCATCACCCTCTCCTTTCCAGCCTTCCTCCTCTGCGTTGCACCAATGATTTGGCATTTCCGTCAAGCCAACGTCGCAGCCGGGTCACTCATCTTATGGATTGTCCTTCACAACCTCTTCAACTGCATCAACCCACTCATCTGGCCCCGCGACAACCTGACCGAATGGTGGGACGGTGCGGTCCTGTGCGACATTCAGATCCGGCTCCAGGTCGGTAGCTATGTGGGATTGACCGCCTCGTTGGCCCTGGTACTACGCAAGCTCGCCAACGTTATGGATACACGCAATATTACTGTGTCGACCAGCCATAAGAGCAAAGTCAAAGCGAAGATCTGGGAAGTCTTTTGGTGTTGGGGCGTGCCGCTGTTATTGATGGGCATTTACTATGTCACCCAGTACAATCGCTATGCAATCGTCGGTATTGCTGGGTGTTGGTCTGTCCATGATGCTTCATGGCCTAGCATGGTCATCAGTTTCATGTGGTCAGCCGTTGGCATTGTGATCGATTCCTACTGGGCAGGTAAGTCTCATCTACTTCCTCCCTCAAATCACCCTACTAATCATTCAACAGCCCTACTTATCTGGCGTCTTTACCGATACCGACGCGAGTTCCACCGCCTTGTTGCAGCGCGAAACACCACGTCCTCACGCTTCATCCGCCTCTTCCTGGTCAGCCTCATCGTCATCTCCTTCTATCTGATATACACCATCGTACTCCTCATACAAATGGCCGGAAGACTCCACGACCATTACTCTTGGGATAGAGTCCATGATCCCGAGAGATGGAACAGAATCACAAGAGAGCCCGGGCTGGGTAAGATCAGTATCGAGAAGTGGGTCCAGATCGCCACAGGATTCATCATCTTCGGCTTCCTCGGCACGGGAGTCGATGCAAATGCTCATTACAGAGGACTGTTGGTCTTTATCGGAGCTGGCAAGATATGGCCTAGCCTATTACCCGGATCGGCCAAAAGGAGGAGACCAACCAGTTTCTCCGCTCCTCGTGATTGGACTACATACTTTTCCAGCAAAGCAAAGAAGATGTCGTGGTTCGGTGCTTCTGACTCTACACAGTCGACATCAACGAGCGCGGATTTCAAGAACGATACTTGGACCGCGTCTACATACAATAGCCCCGTGGCTCTCGATTCGATCCCCCGCTTACACAGCGTCACAACGCAAGACACCTTGATCTCCCAGAAGAACGATCAAGAAATGGCTTCGAAAAAGCATAACCAGTCCGACTCAAAATCTCCATCAGCATCCCCAACACCTCCCCGTCCTACATTCTTCTCCCGCTACTTCACCCGCCCCTCTCTAAACGGGCCTCTCCTCCCCCTCTTCTCCTACCGCAACATCGCCGAGATCAACGCTGCCAGCTCAAACAACGCCTCTGAACCGAGTAACTCTCTCACGACCACCGACACAAATCCCCCCAAACCCCCCACGCCAACCCTCCCCTCCGGCGTCCACACCCGCGCCTGGGCCGAAGACATCTCCTCCTCTCCCCCTTCCGCTGGGATGAACAATGAAGGTCATGGTCACGGGAGGAGCGTTCATGTTGTACGCGAAGTGCATCAGCAGCGGGATAAGAAGCGAGGGGGTGAGTTTGAGAGGGTGGGTAGGGAGATGAGAGATTGGGCTTGATGTGCGTTTCGGGTTCGTCGGTATGACGGAGGGAGCTATGGGAGATTGGGACAGGGTAATGGTTATGGGTTTATTAGATGGGGTTTTTGGATAGGTGGGGATGGGGTTTATGATATTAGCTGGACTTTGTTATTTCGACTTTCGATCTTCTTGGCTTGGCTTGGTGTAGGAGTAATGAGATCACATGGATTGGTAAATCCGTGGACTTGGACTTGAATGAATATATTGGTATCTTGAGTATGCGCATGGACTTGGTGATTATTGTTTATTCGTAGTCTACTGAAAGCGTGATGACGCAATATAACGGTTGAGATGCTGGCGCAATGAACCTCGACTCTTCTGATGTTGTCCATCACCTTGGAGTATACTTATGCAAGGGTTCAAGTGAGAAGTCTAGAACCTCAGGCGTGTGGAGCGAGTATCAGTATCGTGGGCGTGGTCTGTTTACACGGTTGTCGGCTAAGACATGGTCGCGCACATTGCATCATGTCAAGGGTCTTGCATCACGTCATGTCAATTCAGATCACGCACAAAGGAAGCAATATTGTCGTGAAGCATTTTTGATTCCGTTATCGCATGTCCACATGGCGACGTGTCAGTCAAAGGCAAGCCTCCACAAGAGGTAGCGAGCCGGTGTTAGAGTGACCGTCGTAATCGTGTTCAAGTAAACTCCCAGAGAACCCCAATGTGCCATTCAGGCGATTGACCAGCATTCCATAACATTCCTCAGTCCAGCACAGTCGTCACCTCCCGAAGTAGTAGTTGAAAGCTCGCGTGCCGCAGTCCGCCGTGTGACGTAGCTTGAGGGCCGAATCGCGCGGTGGAGTAGAGTGAGTTGCGAACCGGTCGGAAGGTTGTGCGTAGAAAACGTGTCGTTCAGTGATCATTTTCGTTCAGAACTGAGGTGGGTGATGCTGAGATTGAGGGGCGAGACGTTTATTTGCTGGGAGTTTGTTAGACGCGAAGAAGCGGGCGGTGGTGATGTGGTAGAACTTACGAACGAGCCCTAGTCTTTCTTCTCTTGCGCTTGAGACGGCGAACGCGCTTCTTCCTCCATTTGGCTCTCATCTTGTCGGCGGGCTGTGGTATGAGGTCAGCGGCTGCACTTGAGAAAGTAGAGGCGCCGGCGGGTGCAAGGACACTCGAAGAGCAACCATTGCGGTCAATTGAGTGTCGCCAGCGCCGCCATGGCCTGGGATATAGAACTTACATTGCTGTCGAGATGAGTGTCGTGAGTGTAGAACAAAGGTAGGAGCTCAGCGAGTCGAAATACCTAGGTGGGTGCGGGGCTCGCTTAGCTAGAACGGCTTAGCGCCCAGCCCTGAGGCAGGCGCCAAGCGTTCACGCGCGCCGCGTCACCTGCCTTACGTCAAACCTCAGTCGCGTCATTACCAACATCATTCCAGGGCAGTGTTATCGGCGGCGGAGGAGTGTTTTACGATGGCAGGCGAAGCAGTGGCATGGCTGCAGATCAAGGTCGGAGGTGATAGTGCTTATGGTGAGTCGATGTCCTTCGATTCATGATCAACAGACTAACGCATGCAGGAACGCACGGAGGCAGGATCGAGGTGTGCGGGAATGAGCAGTTCAATCTCGGGAGGGATCCAGAGCTCTGGTTAGAGCACTGTCTTCCTCGCTGTGATATGAGCTTGTTCTAATCCTACCACAGCCGTTACTCGTGGGGCGATGACCTCACCATTTCAAGAAAGCATCTTCGCATCCATTGCATTCTCTACGAACAAAACCCAATCGCTAAGATCGCACCGTTCGTCTATGCAACTGATATCTCTTCAAACGGCACTTACCTCAAGAAGAGTAATTCGGAGTACACGGCGTCCCAAGACGCAGGCATCCTGATGGGTCCCAAGAGTACCTTCCTCCTAGAGGAGGGGGATGAGCTTCGCATCTCAGAAACCGTCACCCTGATCTACTGCTCGAACACGCCGGTAGAGCTTGTGAAGTTGACCGACATCCAGGAGCGAGAGAGACAGACGTTTGCTTCGCGCTACCTCCTCACCGGTCGCTTGCTCGGCGAAGGTGGTAATGGCAAAGTCCTCGTTGGCATCAATCAAGAGACACAGCGACAACTTGCGTGCAAGATCGTTCGACTAGACAACATGTATGACACCTTGGCGTTGTCGAACTTACGTCTTCCTACCGGGAAGCGAGCGAAGCATCCTAAGTCAGTGAAGCAGCAACTGCCGACAAGGGTCACCAACTGTTTCCGCGAGTTTGACATTCTCAAAGACCTCAGCCATCCGAACATCATCACCATCGAAAAAGTCTTTCGGAGTAACAATACCATCTACATCTTCGAAGAGCTCGTCACAGGCGGCGACTTGTTCTCCTTCATCGAGTACAAGGAGGGCCAAATAGACAGTCTGCAGGCCGCGACTATTATCTACCAGATCTTGAACGGAATCAAGCACCTTCACGACCAAGACGTCGTACACCGAGATCTAAAGCCGGACAACATACTCATGTCGTCTCTCGAGGACAGTGCTCGCGTCGTCATCACCGACTTTGGCAGTGCTAGGTTTCTCCCAGGGAAGAGCAGCCAAAACCCAGCGAAGGCCAACAAGTACCAACGGATGTTCTCGCTCGTGGGTACCTTGGAGTACATGGCGCCTGAGATTCACAAGCGCGATAGGGCCATTCCAGCCGAGCACGGCTACTCAAGATCTGTCGACATGTGGTCCATCGGCACGATTGCAGCTACACTACTTACCGGAGACACAATGTTCACTGATCGCAGACACCCGGAGTACCACACGAATCCTCAAGCTGTGATCATGGGTCTTGCAGCAATCTGTGACCTAAGTCACCTGGACGATCCGCATCATCCATCGTGGGGCGGCGTCGGCGACCGACCGAAAGACTTTGTCAAGAATCTGCTTATAGTCAAGGAACAGGACCGAATGACAGCGTCGGAAGCTCTTGCGCATGATTGGTTCTCCTCCTACCACGAAGACCTTGAGGAAATGTATACGGACTCCATTGTAGATTGGGAACCTCGCGAAACGAGCCATGATCTGGTCGAGATCATTCCCAAGTCTATAGTGAACAGTGTCGCTGCTGGCATGGTCGGCGGAAGTCGGGTTCCAGCAACGACTTCACGCTACTTCGCTTTTCGCCAGCCTACAGACACGCTGCGGAAGCCTTCGTCCCAGCGCTGGCGTGCAAATACCCCATTGCCGTCCATCATGCAAGACCATGAAGCAGCACAGTTCGCTAGTCAATTGCAGGCTCCATCATACGACAACAGTGACCCATTCGATCAGAACGGACAGCGTCAATCACTCTCGGTCACAAGCGCGACTGGAACAGGTATGTATCGTTCACGTGAAGATGCAGATGATGACCACGAGGGTTCCGAAGCGAGCTTGAACGGTGTTACGAACGACTACTCACAGCAAGAACACTTCGAATATCTACCGCTACCGCCAGATCATGATTCCGTTTTGGTAAGCGAGACGCCCCTTGAGGTCTATCATCAACGACAATGGGCTGGGGATCAAGGCCACGATTCAATACTCGTATATGAGACGCCGCCTGAGTTTCTTCGCCAGCATACCTTCTCGTCGGACGGTGACCTACCGACCTACGATGTGCGGGCTTACGATGACGCGTCAAGTGTGCGCAGTGCAGCTCATGTCGTGGGAAAGCGAAGGAAGCTCTCGCACTACGCTTGGTGATCTCATCTTCTTGATCTTTAACTAATCTATAGCGCCACTAACGCTACGCAGAAGCAGTCATGGGTATTTAATATTATGTAGCTTTCTTACTAATGCCACGGTTATCTATTGTCAACGCGCACTTTCTCGCAGCCGCCTTACGCTGTAACTGCTAACATGTACCTAACCCTACATAAAGGGGCCTATATTAGAAGTAGCTTGTTTATCGTCGCGAGCGCTTGCTAGATGTTATCCTGCATGCTACATTAAATACTCTGTTGCTAACGCTAGTTAACAAACATAGCTTCTCCTAAGTTCCTCTACTACAAATTATTTAACTTTACGCACGTCTACGCGTCTAGTAGAAGGGTCAATCGCTTAATATGTACACGACAAAAACCTTTTAAAGCTCGCAACCAGTACTCTGCTCTCGCGAATCTGCTGCACGCATTTGGCTATCACTTAGACCGTGAGTGACCCATAATTAGCGTCCGGAGCACATTGTGGCTATTTTCGCCTTGAGCATCGCGCGGATGTTGTTACTGTGGAAGACTCAAAAAACGGCAAGAGGCTTCCCGGGGTCATCAATTGTGTTGCTGCTCGATTTGACGCTAGCCGATCTTGGACTAGTGTCACATTTCCCCCGGGGCCTGTCGTTCCTTCCATGCCTTCCAGTCAGCCCCTCCGATCGTTCCATCCATGGATGCTCCATGTCACCAGCTAACAGCCACTAGCTACATGCCTCACTCTTGATGTCGACAATCGCATCCTTTCGGTGCTCTCACGTTACATTACCATATTGCTATGGAAGGCTGACCAGGGCTCACGGGGCCATGACGCGTCCCCGACTTTCAAGGCGTTCCCGCGGGATTCGCACGCATCACGACGCATCAATCACGCTATATGTATACGAGCACTACAACTACCATTGAGAAGCGGGCATCATCTCTATTGATCATAGAATCTGCATCGCTGCCCAACATTGAAGTCGGAGCGCCCAAGATGACAGCAGGCTGAAGCTCTTGTGACCAATAGAGCGCGCCTCATTCTGGAAGCGAGAGAGTCCTCCATCGTGCTGCGCCCGCTACTCAGCGCCACGAAGGTTACACTGTGAGGGTGTTTAGACACCGTGCGACTATTCGCATCTCCTCTACATACCTTGTCGTGGCCTGAGGATCTGGACTCTACATACCCTGGCCACACCGGCCTGCTACTTACACACCCGGTTTCCTCTTGAAACCTACCATAATCATAACCCCAACCTTCAAATCACGATCACCCCTTCCAAGTATGGTCACACAAAGATTCTTATGTCCGCATGCTGCT